AGCATGGATTTTTACCAAAACCTATTCAAATCTGCGCATTGGCCCAGAGCATCTATGCACAAAGTTTCATCAAAAACCGATGTATGGTTCTTGAGATAGCAGTGGAAAAGTCGGACACATATACACACATACATGTACACACACACACTAACTGCAAAGACTCCCATTTTGTGCTTCGCACATGGGAGTCAAAAACTTACATTAACTTTATTTGCCAGTTACATGTATACATGCAGCTAGTCTTTGTAAGGATAGCCTTGCCACTTTGTCCATGGAATTATGTCTGAAGGACTAAATCCAGACCCCTAAACTCAAGGTGCACACCAAGCTACTATTGTTTAGTACAATGGTCAGTGCACAAGTGACAAACTTTTCCTACCCATGTGGATCACCTAGTTGGTCAGCAAGAGGTCAGAGTCACTGACCGGCTGATGATATCACTGAGTTCATGTTGTTGTGTATCCCTGGATAACATATAGTCAAAACAGCTGTGTAGTGGAATATCTTGGAATTATTATTAAATAAAAGTTGAAGAACCTCAAGTCTCTAATATTTTGTTCATATCAGAAGAAACTATTGTGATGGAGTAATATCTTGTCACGGTTGATGTCAGAATGATTGTACAATTTAGCATAACCTACATTACATCGAACATTACATTATCAATTACTAGTACAAAGCAAAAAATAACTTACGTTAAACCAATTTGCCAGTTTATGGATGCAGTATTTATAAGGATTACTTTGCCACTTTGTCCATGGGTATATGTCTGAAGGTATATCCCCCAGGTTCACGGTGCACATTCACAAGACATTCAGTGCACATGTGACAAGTTTTTCCTGCCCATGTGAATCACCTCAAATGGGGTCAGATCACTGACCCTCTTATAACCTTACAAGTTCATGAAGTTCATGTTGTGTTTCCCTGGATATCATATAGCCACAACAACTGTGTAGTTGAATATTCTGGAATACCGGGGTACTGTGCAGATCAGTTAAATGTCACATGAAGATGAAGAACTTCATGATTCTAATAATATACACATGTAGTTCTAAAATCAGAAGGAAATATTAACTGTGAAAGAGCATTATCTTGTCAGAGTTAATCTCAGAATGATATAAATAGTTGTACCATAACCATCAAACATTTAATATTGTAGAATGGAAGTGATTTATAAACAGGGTCACAAAAATCAGGTTAGGGATTAGTTAGGGTTAGTTTATCATGTTTCTGAGGTTTCCGTGATCACTTCCTTGAGGTTTTTTAGATCTGTTTCCAGCAGTTAACTCTATGATTAATTAAATGTGTTGATACAATGTTTAAGTTCATTTGATGTTTTTTTTACAGATCAAGTTGATGTTTTGAATGACAAGAATATCTATAGCCGCCAGGACTTTCTTCATTCCAGAAAATTGAGATTAAGAAATTTAATGCAGATGTAAAAAGGTGGGCCATTTTAAATCCAGGGTGATAGGGTGTGGGGGGTTTGGTTGTGTCTGGAAGATTGAATATATATGTTACGTTACCCAATGTGGACAGATTAGAACCCAATTACAGAACGCTTATTCAAATCATTTACAGTTGATAGACATGTACTAGACATAACGGTAAAGTTGGATTAGTTGCCAACAAATGTAAACGCTCATTGAAGTATCAACATGCCATTGTTTATACCTGAGTAAAATATTGATATTTGACTCAAATCAAGCGACCACAAACTGAACTCAGATTGGCAACCACATGTGAACTGTACATATACTATATAGTTTAGTGAGTCAAGGACAGATTTTGCATGTGATCCTCCAAGCAAGTTCATGTGATATACTTCAACCATGTTTTGTCACACTGAAACCATTCATGGAGTCAACAAACAAAAACAATGCTAGAAGCTGAATCAGATCATGTGATCGACATTGTGCATGAACAAGTGGTTTCATGCATACTCAACATAATAATGGAACTAACTATATGAATGGAAGCATTGAGGAGGTAGCCTTGACATCCCAGCAACTCCTACAGGCAGGCAGGCAGGATTGTTGCTCGTCAACATCTATTGATGCTTTGTATGCAAGATGAGTGAAAATGGAGCAAATTATTTATTAGAAAAAGTGCCATACATAGCAAAAAAATTCATGCTATTACAATGAGAGACTGGTGCATATAATCATCAATTTGCTTGTCAGGGTGTACTAATGTAGTACTGTCAACTCCATTGCAGAGGAACCTGAAGCAAATTTTCATAAATTTGTTGTTTCATATATAAGTGATGCGCAGACTTGAATAGTTTTTGATTGAAATCTGTGCATATTAATTACATAATTTGCATATTAATTGACCATGCATTTACTCTATTAGAAGCACATGTGCTTACTGTAAAAATAAAGGAAAAAGTATATGGTCAAAAAAAGACATATTTCAATGATTTTGCATTCAATAAATACAATGCTTTTTATGTGTAAAAGATGTGCTTTCTAAATAGTGAAAACAATATTCCTCTGTTGTTCTTTATGCCTTCAATACCTTCAGCACACAGAAGTTCTTTCTAAGCTTTCTTTGATTAGTTTATCCTGTTTGTCTATGTGTGTGTTCCACGATAAACATTGTATGTCAATGGTTCCACTGATATCCCAATAACAGTCAAATCCAAATTTCAATGAAATTTAGTATATGTATGCTTTAAAATTGGGGCATAGGTCAAATAGTAACACAAATTTCAATCGATATCTCTCTATCGATTGGGTATAAAATAAGTATAGCTTGACGTAGTACTGGTATGATAGTTTTTAGTTAAATTCATAATATGCATGATAATTAGCTGATTTTTCGACTTTTCCAGAGTATTTTTATTGTTTTAAAGAACTTTTTGACAATGCATCCTAATAAAATATGGTATGATTAAGCACTAGCATATTAGCACTGAGAAATAGCAGTAT